ATGTTTGTGATTGACAGGTGTGCTCTAGTTCTCTGCCACATCCAAGATGGCAACCGCTAAAATCCAAACCTGAGGCTTTAAAATGGTCCACAAACCAACGGGTGGCATCACTGTGGCTGATCCATCTTTTATTCTCTCTCTATAGATCTATATTTATGCTGCAGCCTCATATCGTATCAATGTTTATCTGTTTGTATTGTATTTCTTAGCATCAGGTCAAAGAGGAGACTCACCCAAAATGCCAAACTTGTTCCTTTAATATATCCATCATTAGCTTAATATTGCTGTTTTTCATTACCTCCCTGTGCGGGGTGGAGACAGAGCAGGAAGCCCGTCGGGTGAGTGCGATTAAACAACATGTAAGTCACCTTTGTGTGCGCTATCTCTCATTGAGAAGGCTCTTAGACGACGACTGCACCCATACAAAGGGAGTCAGAGGTGACAGAAGCACCACGGGCCTCCTGTAACCCCCATTACAACCCCGCGGTCACCCCGGCAGAGGTGAGGAGGTTATTATGGGATGGAACTGCGCGTCCTCCCGGCCCCTCCCTCTCAACTCCTGGCCTTTAACGGGGGCAGCTGACGTCAGAGCGGCCTCGGGCACCCGACTGTCTCTGTTGTTTTTAGCTGTCAGTTTTCCACTCGCCCCCACCCACCCTGCACACAACTGTTCCTGGCTGATGTCCAAACTCCTCCAGCTCTTTGTAGGAGTGACCTTTGCAGAGGCAGACTGACAGACCGGCTCGGGCTCTCACTCTCTTGGTGGTGTGAGTGGTGTCAGTGTGCGGCGCTGGCAGCTGAGAGGCCTGAAAGGATAATTTCAACTGTTACTGTGGCTGCCCCGCTGAGAGGAGCGTTTACTGCCTGAAATCCCAGAGATGGCGTTTATCTCAGGCAGGGATCACACGTCACTGAGAGAAATCATCTTTTATCTGCCACAGGCAGGATTTCACTTCAAGTCAGGCTTTGATTATGCACATTTAAACTGAATCTCATTTCGCTTTGCTCTCATTTTGTGGCAGGAAATCAGAAATGGGATGAAAAGGCACATAATATTGCAGTTAATAACCAGATCTAATCAGTTTGATCAGCTTGTGTCAAATGCAATATCCTTATGTGGAAATAAGACACAATACATGCAGATGAAAGATTACATGTGAAGCCAATATGAGGAGGCCTCCACGGAGATCGGCTTAGTTGAGAAGTAAAAGTTAGATTGATATCTGGGCATGCACAAAACTTTTCCAGAAAAGAGGAGAATAATAGAGAAGAAGAAGAAGAATGAATTGTTGTTTTTGTTATTTTGAAGAATCGGTGCAAGACTACCAATATTTTTTTCTTATCAACTCTGTAAAATGTCAGAAACAAGCTCAACATGATGCTTTCAAATTGCTTCTTTTCTCTGAGCAACAGTCCAAAACACAAAACAGAGAAAGTCTGAAAATCATCACATTGAAGAAATCAGAACCACCAAACCTTCAGCATGTTTACTGAATTAATCGGATCTCAAGTTGTTTTTTAAAATAAATTTAACATTTTTTAGCAGAAGATACTTGCAAGAATAGTCCATTTCAGATTATTTATTTTTTCGTCAACAGTACTTCGTTTTGGGCAGACTGATTGTTAAACACACAGCCTGTGACATATGCGACATCCAGATATAGGAGCAGAGTGAGAGGTCGCTGCGTGTCGCTGCTCTCAGATGGCGACTCTTCAGGTGGTCCTGATGGTCACATCAAATGACCAGCGAAGATAAGACGCCTTTATGGAAACATTTTTGGGTTTTCAGAAATAACTCGGGTCACCTGGTGAGACGAGCGAGCCCTGAGGATCATGACAGTCACAGTCAGAGATGACAAACGATAGAAAAATGCTGTTTAGATTTCTAATATTTGGTATATATGTATATACATATAGAGTTCTATTGCAGTTTTTTGGGGGAATTTACTTTTACTTCGCTATTCTGATCCATCGAATTGTTCTCAAGGTCTGTTTCAAATGAAGACAGTCTTTTAAATTTGGCTTTGAAGATTTTGGAACATCATAAAACCTTTTTTTTTTTTTTTTTTTAACTGTAGTTATGCCTAAATGTTACTTGGTCCTTGGTTAAAAATAAACAATAAGAAATGCAAAATGTACAATGAGTGTAATATGTCAAGTGGAAGTAGAAAAGTCCTGTGTGGAGTAAGAGTACAACAGAAGTACGCAAAGGACATTTTCAACGATGGAACCACAATTATTTTTCAGCATCTTAAAGACAAGCAACGGTAACTGAAAAGGTCAAGTCAGAATTCACCCATAGGTGTTCATTACAACTAAATTAGTATAGTTTTGATTTTTTGTAACGGATTTTCAGAAGTGCTCACTGTTCAAAAAAAATGTTACTAAAAAGTCTAAATCTAAGCATTGGTGAAATTTAGAATTGAAAGTGAGAGATATGAAGGATTTAATGTTTATCTGGATCCTAAGTGATCTTCTATTCTGATATGTGCCTTTTCTTGCATGTAGTGAATAAAAGTCATGATAATAACACAACTCCAAACCCTGTGAAGCTACATTAACACAGCACTTGGAAGAAAACTAAAAAATATTCTCAAATTATTTGCGAAGAATTTTCTCCATAAATCATAAAATACAAAAATATTAGTTTGCTTATTTATTGATTGATTTATTGATTCTTGGAATTAACTTTTGCCGATTACTTGAATGAGATATCAGCATCACTGAACCTCTACAAGAGATGTACTTGCTTTTATATTGATTTTTTTTTCTTTCTAATTTTACTTTAAACATAGTTTATAATAAACCCAGCTAAGATTAAATTAGATTCATTTTCAATTAAAAAGAAAAGTAAGACTGAACTGGTGTGACACAATAAAAGCACAAACTATGTGCATTTGGTGCATGTTTAAGGATTTCTGCAGGCTGGTCATTCACATGCAGGCCAGCAGGAGCCAGACAGACCTGAACCTCTAAGTTTTATCAAATCTTGCAAAATTTTGATTAGCTACAGCCACAGAGTACATTGTAGTGATAAAAATATGAGAACATAAATGGAAAATTTCAATCCCTTTTTTAAATCAAACCATCTTGAAAGTCAATTTCCCTAAATAATTGAATTTCCTGAGCCTCTCTCGGTCAGCGCGGCCGCTCCGGTCCCCAAACACTCCACCGTGTGTTTTTGGCGCCACTTTGTGGACGGCAGCACACACGTCATCTACCCGCGCTGCTCTCGCGGTTCTCAGGCGCCTAGCAACCTCACAACTTGTATCTCCGCATTGACCAATCAGGAGTCAGCGTGCTGGCCAATCAGCGTCGAGGATTTCGGCACCAATTTAAACGAAGAGCCAGCGCTTCCTGTTTTGCTAACAGCAACACACACAAGCGTGAACGACCGAGAAAAGAGGGCAAAGGGCAAACATTTGACCCAATTTATCACCTTTATCGGCAACAGAGGTATCCTTAGCACAAGAATAAGCTTGAAACGAACTTTAGAAGAAGCTGGTTTAGTTTTCAGTTAAAACTACAACCGAGTTTGTCCGAACGGTGACGCTAACGTAAAGTTTGGTAACTTTTAACGTTAGCGTCGGTTGAAGAAAACACGATGCCGTCCCGTGTGGAGGACTACGAGGTGCTGTACACTATCGGCTCTGGCTCCTATGGAAGATGCCAGAAAATAAGACGAAAAACTGACGGGAAAGTGAGTAAATGTCCGCCTGAAAACACGCTGCACACCTGGAGGCTACGGGTACCTGCCCGGGCCAACCACCAGACCGCCTTTGTTTCTCTTGTTAATGCTCAGTACTGAAAACACGGATCAATAAACCAGTGTTTAGTGTTTTTACCACAAACCTGTAACATAATGTCACGTGAACACATGAAAATAGGTAGAAAAACAGAGTAAAGCAGATGCAGTAAACCCAGTCCAAGTCCTTTGACCAGCAGGCTGTTTACCTGGAGGACACTTTGATCAGTGAGAGCAGGAGAAGCTCAGGTGTTACTAATGAAATGTCTCAGTAATCAATGAAAAGGTCAATTCAGCTGAACCATCGTTATTTCATTATTTACATCTATGCTTTTTTTGTTTGTTTGTTTTTCTTGACTGCAGAGTCATGTCAAAGTGTTTGTTATCTAAAAAGTCTGCTGACACATCTAAATATAATGTAGTCAGTTTTAATAATTATTATTAATGCCCTCTGTGTGTAGCGAGGATAGATTGTTGCCGTGAGAAAAGTCTCAAGTAGGGTTGAACAATGTGTGCAAAATATCTAATTATGACAGATATTGTGATTTACACTATACAGCTTCAGGTCAGTTTAATGCATGTGAGGGAGTATTACCTGGTAAGACTGTCCCAACGAGGACGTCATGACTGTCTCTGGGTCAGACATGCTGCATAACGTAGCCTGAATTTGTGTTTGCAAACTGCTTTGTTTCAAATTTCCATTTGAAATCAATGAAATCTTTCCTGAGCCGTGTTCTCATGCCTATATGAAGCGATGACATATCTGTAGACGTCACCCCTGTTGTAAGTAGTTTTAACAATGTTCAAAACGGCAGCCTGACAGTGCAACACGTTGCTGTGTCTGTTTGGTGTTTGTCTACTGATATTTTAAGGCTTTTTTGCAGCATGGATCCCTTTTAGAGGAGAGAGATGACAGAATTAGGAACAGAGGTCTCTGGACAATGCAGCCAGTGATTGGTGCCTTAACTCTCTGTTTATTAGCAGGGTAACGCACATTTTTAACAATTTAAAATTGTGAAGGTAAAATAGTCATTGGTGGTCGTGATGATGGTAGTTTGACCCCAAAGGTCCATAACTTTTTTTTCTACAGATTTCAATTGCATCTCATTGTCTCATTGTCTGTTCAAGGATAGACTGATGTCTTATGTGAACGTTGATTTTTCAACACAACATCAGTCCTGTCCTGTCCCATGAATTCTCTGGTTTTGCACTCCGTCCTTCTGGTTATTAAAGCACTGTTGTTCTTCAGATCCTTGTGTGGAAGGAGCTGGACTATGGCACCATGGCCGAGAGCGAGAAGCAGATGCTGGTGTCAGAGGTGAACCTCCTGAGGGAGCTCAAGCACCCAAACATAGTGCGGTACTACGACCGCATCATAGACAGGACCAACACCACGCTGTACATTGTCATGGAATATTGTGAAGGTGGGGACCTGTCCAGTCTCATCAGCCGCTGCATCAAGGAAAGGTAAACATGTGGTCCTTAAAAACACGTGTGTGCTTCCTGATAGAATCTGCAGAGATTAGAGTATGTGTGTTTCCACCTTGGCAGGCGTTATTTGGAGGAGCAGTTAATTCTGCGAGTCATGGCTCAGCTCACATTAGCCCTGAAGGAGTGTCACAGGCGGAGTGACGGCAGGGCCACAGTTCTTCATCGGGACCTGAAACCAGCCAACATTTTTCTTGACATCAAACAGAATGTCAAGCTTGGCGACTTCGGCCTCGCGAGGATCCTGAACCATGACACCAGCTTTGCAAAGACATTTGTTGGGACACCGTACTACATGTCTCCAGTAAGTTTTTTTTTTTTTTAATCATAACTGCATCTGAGCATCTTCTTCTTAATGACTTTTTTAAAGGGAATATTTAGAGCATTTAACCTGATTTCTTGCCTCGACTCATCAGAACTCTTTGTTTTTCATTTTTACAGTTTGAGAGATTTGTCATTTTTCAAAAAACCATGTCTTAATAAGATAGTCAACTATCTCCTTTTTCTTTTAGGAACAAATAAACAGGATGTCTTACAACGAAAAGTCTGATATCTGGTCACTGGGATGTTTGCTGTATGAACTTTGTGCATTATCGTAAGTTATTCAACTCTTCTGCTTTCCTGGGTTTCCCTCAGCAAACTGTTTGACTGCAGATCAGACCATTTCTCCTGTAATTTTCTTGTCCAGGCCTCCATTTACTGCTTACAACCAGAGAGAGCTGGCAGAAAAGATCAGGGAGGGGAAGTTCAGAAGAATCCCCTACCGGTACTCTGAGGGACTGAACACCCTACTCAGCAAAATGCTCAACCTAAAGGTTAGAAGAAGAATTATTTAACAATGCTGTAATATAGTTTGAGACAGCAGTTCACTTTCCCAGGCTCTCTGCCAGTGCTATCAGCTTCCCACTTTGTGTTTCAGTGCAGCCAGGGTAGATTAATCTGTCCCCTCTGTTGCCAGGACTATCTGAGGCCTTCTGTGGAGTCTATTCTCCAGAGCAGCCTGTTGAGGGATGCGGTTGCCGAGGAGCAGAGGAGGGCACAGCTGCGGCCCCGAAGGAGATCGGCGGGCTCCGACTGTCCCGTCCACAAACCGGCTGAACCGGTGCCTTCCTCGGCCGCAGAGCTCAGACTGAAAGAACAGGCGCTGCGGGACAGAGAACAGGCTCTGAAGGAACGTGAGGAAAGGCTGGAGAGTAAGACTTTTATTTTTAGCCCCATTTGTGCCACATAGACCTCAATTCCAGGTCAGTCAGAAGACAGTGTGACCCCTGCTGACCTGCAGCTGGGCTACTGCATTTTACGGATAAACTTATTCAAAGCTGCTTACGATGAAAGATTAGATTAGCTGTGGACTCTGGAAAATACTTTAAAAGATATGTGTATTTTATTTAATCTAAACAGTATTTTATTGATATTTGTTTGTGTTCTGTGTTTTGGAGGATTTCACTGCAGTGTCCTGTTTTACGAAATCCTGAAAATTAATTGTGTTTATGTATTCCAGGCATTATTTTTATTCTGTGGACTTGTGATAATACATTTAATACTAGTTGCAGATCATATACAAATGAACATAAAATTGCATGTGCCAGTAATTAGATGGACAAGACGGCAGTGTAGTTCCAGAAACTTGCTGGATGGAACAGGTTTGTTCGTGCTGCTTGTAAAAAAAGTGCTGCAACCGCATGCTGACCTACTTCCACACCTACAGCTCCTGGCTGACAGTGCAGATTACATGCTGCAATGTAAATGTGTGTGAGTGTGTATGCATGTGTATATATACCAAAAAATATGAATGCAAGCATAAAATTGGTGGTCACACATAAGTAGCATAAATTCCACGGCTAAAATGGTCTTTTTCGTCTTTTAATGGCAGAAAGGGAGCAGGAGCTGTGTGTTCGTGAAAGACTGTCAGACGAGAAGCTTGCACGGTGAGACCTTTTTGAAAAAGAGTCACTATGCTGTCATTTTGCCGAGTTTGCACATTCAATCAGATCATTTTTGTCAGTCTTTCCAACGGCTAGAACATTTTGGGTCTTTATGATGTGCTATTTCAGAGCTGAGAGTTTGCTGAAGAATTGCAGCCGCCTACAGCAGCACAGGGACCTGGCACCGCTCATAGGTATGGGAATCCACCGGAGACTTCTGGACTTACCGAACCAAGACAAAAACTGAACAGTGTTTTTATGTGTTCATGTCTCTGTCTAAATTTGATTTACTAAAATCAAGCATATTTATTTATTTTTTATATCATGTAAATAAAGTTTTTATACACCAATGAAACATTATTTAAATGAAACCTTTGCTCTAAAGGGCACAGCTCATAAACACACGTGACGAACTGAACTCTTGCTATCACGGTGGATTGTAAATATTTTAGTTAGGGTTGCCCCATGATGTAATGCTCAGCCCGATCTTAATCTTGTTAATCAGTGACTTGACTTCTTGCTGTTTGGCTCTAGATGTGGAGAGCCTGTCACCTGGCAAGAAGAAAGTCCACTTTGCTGGTGAGAGCAAAGAGAACCAGCGGCCCGATAGTCATCAGAGCGTGACGTCACAGGAGCTGATGTTGAGGAGGCTGCAAGCGGCCAGTCGGCGCGCCCAAACACTGAACGAAGTGGAGAAGATCTGCCAGTTGAAGAGCAGGCAGTTCCTGGGCATTCGCTGATCCAGCAGATGTTACTGACTTATGACTGAATGTGGAAACTTCTGATAGCTTCGAGTCACAGCAGCTGGATGTAAATTAATATTTATTTATATGATAGTTGAGTAGCTGTAAAGCCCAATAGCTCAACCAAATGTATCGTCGTGTCTGTGGCATATAAAGCTGTGTAGTGGCACATTTTAATTAGCTGGACAGTTTGATGAGTGTATGTGTGGATGTTACAGGCAGCTATTGCGATTGTCATTGTACTGTATATTCTTGCTATATTTATTGTGAGTTTCTTTCACAGATTATATGGCAGTAGACATAAAAGGTCAGATCCTATGATGATTCATTTGTATAAGAAGAGATAGCAGTATATATGAAGAATAACTCCTGTACCTGTGATGACAATGAGCATATAAACAATCTAGAAAGAAACTGCTAGTAGCAATAAATGTAATAAAAATACAAGATGTGTTATTGTTATGAGACAGACTTTCACAGTAACAACTACGGGGAATAAGGTGTGTTTCATTTGCATTACAATTACGCTGCAGACACTTTAATCAAGACTGATGGTTCCCACAAGGGGTCATCAGTTTCCCATGAAACATCAACCACCACGTCTAGAGATTTCAGTGGCTACAGGCAAAGTTGAAAAAAGCTTTCACACTTGGAAATCCTTTATTTTACATTTAAAAGGACGCATTATTTGCTCGTTTAGGTTTTTTTGTTCATGTTTAAATTTGATTAAAAGATGGAAAACGATGATCTTAACAGGTTTTGCATTGTTTGAAACATTTTGGTTTAGCTCCATTAAAGACAATTAAGTCCTTAAAAACAACAATTATTAAAATAGTTTTATTAAGGCCATAGAAATACCTGACAGACATTTAAATTAGGAAACAAACTCGCCTTCTTTAGTTTATTTGATTGGATCGTCCTCGGTGATGAGAAATCGATTAAAAAAAAAACAGCTCAATAAAGGGCCAGTGTTTGCTCACTTACTCCGGCGGCTGCTGAGTATCTGATATCTCAAGTTTTGGCTGATAGTACGAGATTTGATTTACAAATCAATTAAAAATGTCATCGCGAGATTACAGCTGCCGTTAGCGTGGGTAGCAACCGCCGTTGTCTTGCTTGCTCGCGCCGCCTACTTGCGAGAGTTGCAAAATTAGACCAATCATTTTCCTCCTCGTAGCCCGTCAACCAATAGAATTGAACCTGGGCGTGTCCTCCGGGCTCCGTGTTCCGTGTGGAAAGTTTACCGGCTCGGGTGCAAAGTTTCACCGTCTGCAAATCGGAGCTCGTCGGCAAACGAATGTGGAATATGCTGGGGACGACCACGGTCTACTTAAAACGGTTTATTAGAATCTCGGACTGTTTTCGCGGGTGTTCGACTTCGAGTGATGCCGAGTGATGTCGCCGTCGCCAGACATCAGTAGTATATGAGGACGCTGTTAGCATCGATCGTATTGTCTCAGGGAGCCAGCTAGCTTAAGTCGTTAGCTCGGAGTTGAAGCTAGCTCGCTGATGTCCGGCTGATTTCGTGAGAAGATAAAGCGAAACGTCAATTTAACCCGAAACTTGAATCGACTAGAGACTGTAACGAAGGAAAAATGGCTTGTGAGCCCAATCGCGTCCGGCTGCTATGCATGCTCTCATTGACTTTTGGGTTTTTCATTGTGGAAGTGGTGGTCAGTCGGATGACCTCATCTCTGTCAATGCTGTCGGACTCCTTTCATATGCTGTCGGACGTGATCGCGCTGGTGGTCGCTCTGGTCGCGGTGCGATTCGCCGAGAAGACCCACGCGACCAACAAAAACACCTTCGGCTGGATCCGGGCGGAGGTGATGGGGGCTCTGGTCAACGCCGTCTTCCTCACGGCGCTGTGCTTCACCATCATCCTGGAGGCTATCGAGCGGTTCACCGAACCCCACGAGATCGAGACCCCGGAGGTGGTCGCCGGGGTCGGTGCCGTGGGGCTCCTGGTCAACCTGCTCGGTCTCTGCTTGTTCCACGGGCACGCCGGCGGAGGCCACGGGCACTCCCACGGAGGTCACTCTCACGGGAATAAGAACAAGAGGAGTAAAGCCGGCAAGTCCCAGAAGGCTGGGAATGGATCCTCAGGAGAGGAGACCAACAACCTGGTGGGGAATCACAACAGCCCGGGTGATACGAGGCCAAGAAATGGTAAATATGATAAGCTGGAGCCTTTTTACTGGGCTCAAGTCGTTTTATTTTTTTTAGCCTAATCTTCCTTGTTTGTCTATGTTTTGTTCAAATGTGGAATGTGCCCAGTACAGACCTGTAAGAACCGTTCAGACCTTACCAAGCCAGCCTCATCATGTCCCACCATTAATGTGACACATGTGCCAGGCTTTATCTTCATTGTTAACAGTCCAGATTGCATAACAGTACATCTGTGTATCTGCGGGCTTCCCCGAGGACTGCCTTGGTAACTAATCCTTATTGTTTCTTTGACAGCTGTGCTATTTAGACATATGTGTTTGGTATCACATATTTGTTGGGTCATGGTCTATCCTTGGAAACGTGGACACCGTCACTGACATGCTTTGTGACACTGACTTATAGAAATGTGTAGAAGCTTCTGAATCATCTTGTGTTTTGACATATGCCAGATTTGGGCAACATTTCTAAAGGTCTTGTTTCTTACTGCACAAGTGGATTCATTGTATTTTGGCTGTGATAAGCAGATTGTTACAGCCACGTTTTGGTATTTGGTGACTCTTACCGTATAACGGTGCTTCCTCCGTCTCTAGTAAATCAGGAGTTTGGCTGCCGCTTGTTGACAATAAAGCAACTGACTGCCTCAAAAAGCTTCCCTGTGCCTGCTGCTGGTCAGTCTGTCCAGGAGTCCATCCCCCCCTCGCTCGCTCACCGAAGGGTTAAATCCATACACAAGACCTTTTCTCCCCCACACTGTTAAGGCCTGCCAGTTTCAATAAATGGGGACTATATTCCCTCCTCCTCCGTGTACTGATTGCTGTTATGGGGTTATACATCAATGTAACCGTGGAGTCGACAGCCCCAGACACACCATTAGCCGTTGATGAATGACCCGGCGGTGTCCTGGGATGGAAGCGAGCCGCTGTTGCTCAGATGCCGTGCCCTCAGCGCTGTGTGCGCTGCCACACTGCCTGCAATTACTAATTGAATTTGCTTAATGTGAATTACTACACAGTGTCACATTTCACATGGACTTGTGCTTCGACCCCAAATGATGTATCTAAACAATTTAACAACTGGTTGCCGCTGATCGTATCTCCCCAGAATCTTCTTCCTACAGGCTAATTTGTTGTAACCTCGTTGTTTCTCCTCAATGAGTGGAGTTTCTACACGTAGTGTTTCTTTCTCTTACGTTTCTTGGTCTGTGCATCCTTTGAATGGTTCGTTTGTATCTCGGTGTCAAAGTTCATTTGTTAATTAACTGTCAAGTTTGAGTAAACTAAGCTATCCTGTCTGTCTTTTTATCTGCAGAAGTCGCCTGTAAAGACAGTATAGATGTACAGATGAATGGAAACACCCACTTCGATGAGATGGACCACGACCACGGCTCGTCGTCGCAGCTCAACATGCGCGGGGTCTTCCTGCACGTGTTGGGCGACGCCCTGGGCTCTGTCATTGTGGTGCTCAATGCTCTCGTGCTTATCTTTGTGTGGCAGCCCTGCAAACCTGGAGAAATGTGTGTGAACAAGTGTGTCAACAGCCACTCCACAGACCACCAGCACGTCAATCACACTCTTGTCGACCTGCTGGAAGGTCCGACCGTGATGAACACGAAGTATGCCGGGCCCTGCTGGGTTCTTTACCTGGATCCCACGCTCTGCGTCATCATGGTTTGCATCCTGCTGTATACAACCTACCCTCTTCTGAAAGAGTCGGCCCTCATCCTGCTGCAGACTGTGCCCAAGCAGATCAACATGCACCGCGTCAACGAGCAGCTGCTGAACCTGGACGGCGTGCTCGCCATCCACGAGCTGCACATCTGGCAGCTGGCCGGAAGCCGCATCATCGCAACGGCGCACATCAAATGCCAGGACCCCACGTCGTACATGGAGGTGGCCAAACGCATCAAGGACTTCTTCCACGACGAGGGCATCCACGCCACCACCATCCAGCCCGAGTTTGTCACGTTCAACTCGGAGTCTCGGGACTCCCTGTGCGAGCTCTCCTGTCGGACTCAGTGCGCTCCCAAGCTGTGCTGCGGCTCTGGGGACAAACAGAACGCAGACAAGAAGGGCGACTGTGACTCTAGGGCTGCTGCTGCTTCGGCCCTGGAGGTGATCAGTGAGACCTCAGAGCAGGCTGCAGCCGTTCAGGTTCGCCCTCGGTCCGAGGGCGAGGTTACCGTCACCAGAGAGGTGGAGTCGTCTCTGTGAGATGGAGAGGATAGAAAGAAACAGAGGAGAAGCAGGAAAACTACCACTTTGGGCAAAACCGTCATTGTCATTTGCAGGAAGCTGTAATCTTATTGACAAGGAAATCCTTTTCCTTTGCCTTTTATTTTCTGTCATTACATTTCTATATGACTGAAACCACCACCCCCCCACCCCCGTGTTCATGCATTTGAGCCTTAGTTTCTTTCCATCTCTTTCTTCTCTCTCCATATACTTATTTCCAGCCCCGCCCAGCCTCTCCTCTGCCACTCGGCCCCTCTTGTCGTCTGTAGCCCTGGCAGTATGGTTGCGATGCATGTTGGGGTTCACTGACCTCATCTCCTCCAGGACTGGAGCGAGGCCTGCATGAGTGTCCCTCATTAGCACCGTGTCCTCTGGTGTTTCTGTGCCAAAGCTTCTCACTGGACTGATGGCCTCTCCTCCAAACGGACACACACAACTCATGCAAGTCGGAGCACACGTTAGGTTATTTAGTTTAGCCTATGGACCTGTTGGCAAAGAGTCTGCCTTTTAGTTTTTTTGTGTAGGCTTTGAGCAGATCTATTTTCTTACCCTCTGGCCCCAAGTGGAATAGTATTGTACTGCATAATAATTTAAAGTATTTAAGTTATTAGAAATGATCTATTTCTCTCTGTAGATGCTGTTTGTAATATTTAGTTTGGATGATAGAAACATTTTTGCAATTTCTCTGTCTTGGAGTTTTTGGACAGACCATCTATGCTGTAGTCAGTTTTTTCAGATGTGACGTTTTTATAATGATTTTGTTTTTCAGACTTTTCTCTGGCCTTGACTCAGTTTTAATTGCAGTCATTAGTTGGATACAAAAGCCGTATCAACACACTCACTTTGCCTTTTAAATGAGGAAGAAAAAACACAAACAAACTGCTGTGGTATAGCACTAAGTCTAGTAGACGCAGCGTAATGGAACTTCTTGCGATGGCACAGTTAACTAATTAAATGTTTATTCATAAATTCGATGCCTTGCAAGCCAGAGGGTTGTGTGTTGTGAAACAATGAGCACTGTATGCCGTTAGTGAAACACTATTGTCTGTGTGAATCTGTACT